AGGTGGGCGGGGGGAGGGGAAGCAGGAGAAGTCTCCTGACCCCCACCCCTTCCAAGGTGGCCCCCGGGTTCCTGAAGAAATTTATGAAGTGACCCCCTTTTAAAAATTGACCATCCCTACTGTAAATGTTACTGGAAATAAGCTTCACTGTTGAAATTATGTAGAATATGTCTGTAGTCTAAAAGGATTTTGTACAGACAATTTTAGTTCAGCACACAATTTAAAATAATTCATATATAGTACTGTTCTATATTGGAGTACAGGAGTCTACTTAATTTTGTCCTGTTCTAATTTGGTCATTTTGAAGGATGGTAGAATAACTTGCTGTAACTATTTACCATATTCAGTGAATTTCAGAAAAATGTTTTGGTTTTTTTATCCTTTGGTTTCTACAACTCCATTCCAACAAAATATTTGGATCATTGCTTGTTTGTGTAGATGGGTAGTGGAAGTTACTGGTTTTAAAATTTGCTGAAGATCTACTTAAACATTTTAGTTTTGTCCTGAAATATTTAAAAGTTACATATGCTTCAAAACAATTGTCGTGTGAGGCCTATCTGATAAAGTGGAAGGAAACAAACTGTTGTTTCACTGTATAATTGTCTTTTTACAGCTGCTTTCCTGAATACAGGCAGTCCCTGAGTTACGCGGATCCGACTTAATGTCGGATCCGCAGTTATGAACGGGGCTTTTCTCGCCCCGGAGGATGGGAGCGGCGGGAAGCCCAAGCAGAGGCAGGGCCTCGGGCAGCGGGGCACCCCAGGTGCGCCTGGACTGCTCCGCTGCCGGCTTCCCCGTGGCTTTGCAAAGCTGCGGGGGAAGCCGGCAGCAGGACAGCCCAGACGCCCCGCGGCTGTCCCGCTGCCGGCGTCCCCCGAGGCTTTGCTCCCCTTCCCCCGAGGCTGCTGGGGGAGCCAAAGCCTCGGGGGAAGGGGAGCAAAGCCTCGGGGGACGCCGGCAGTGGGACAGCCACGGCGTGTCTGGGCTGTTCTGCTGCCCGCGTGCTCCGCGGCTTTGCTCCGCATCTCCCTGGGCTTCTGGCCCCCCCCCCCGCCCCCAGCCGACCCGGGAGACGCGGGGGAACTTTTCACGGC